TATAAAACGAAGAGGGCCGAATTTAAAGACTTCGCGGGGACGGATCGCGGGCTAAATTAAAAGAAGTCGCGGGCCGCGAGTTGCCCACGTGTGCTTTAATCAATTATATGTATTGAGAATAGATTATATTTTGAATTTTTTCTCCTACTGCGAGTTTCTCTGCTTAACATAGGCCCAGGCCGGGCCATAAAAGCCATGGGTCCGCTGACCGTGGGGCGATGCCGAGTATATAACAAATGTTTTTCCGCATTTATGTAGTCGTGCGACAACCCCGAACTGAGTAACTGTTTTTCACTCAGGTTTTCGCCTCCGTCTTTTTGTATTTCATTTCTATCAATAAACGTTTTTTTTTCTCTGCAGTCGATTGAGTCAATCTTTATTCGCTAATTAAAGATCCTCAATAATATGGCTATTTTTTATTGATTTAAAAAAGAAAACATAGAGAATTATGTGGCTTTACATTAATACAATTCTTATATTATTGGTTTACTATTTTTCGAGGTGCTTGAGGTTTCAAATGACAATTGTAGAAAATTTAAATATGGAAATTACAGTTTCTTAAAAAAATGGTATATGTACATAGGAACGCGCCAAAATATCTGGGTCGTAAAGCAACGATCTCTTGTTTATGGAAATGAATAATATTTTGTCAGCAACCTGTTATTTTTAAAGCTATAATTTTCAGATACTGCACAAAATAACGAATGTTATTCTTTTAATATTTATAATATCTATTACATATTAATATCTTTCGTAGATTGCGGTGATTTAGGGAAGTTTCTCACGTTTGAATGATGTTTTCTTTGTCACGTAATGCGACACGAAGAGCATCTAATTCCTTGTAATGATCTCTATTTCGGTGACCAGCTGGTGACGTGATTCCACCAGAAATACTTCCACCTTTTTTCCGTCTCGGTGTGGTAGATAAAGATACTTCTATGCTGGCCATCTGAAAAGAGAGTAACAAAGACTAATAATTGTCAATACTGTGCTTAAACTTACACTTCGTACCCATCTTATGCATCAAATGCTTAGATTTACATATTAAACACAGTGGAACTTGGATAACTCGAAAATCTCTGTAAGACGAAAATTTTCTTCATTCCCTTCCGCTTCGCTGTAAAAATCTCTACAACTCGAAATAAACCTTCCGTTAACTCGAATTATTTGTCGCATGTTTAACACGTAGTTTACCTCTACAATTCGAATTCAAAAGAACTCGGACCTCTACAAATCCAAGTTAATTTCTACATAACAGTCAATTGTTTGTTTCTTCACAGAGATAAACAGTGCACGAGTCTTGATCACAAAAGCAGTTTACTGTGAAAGATCGAAGGAACAAGTTAAAGCACAGTTCTATCGTTTCTCGTTCTTTTCTCCGGATTATATGTAACAAAATGAATTCTAAACGCAAGCGACAAACATTAACACTGGCTGATAAAATAAACATAATTGAAACAGTAAAAAGTGGATCAAGAAAGGAAAACGATATTGCTAATGACTTCTCTTTGTGGAAAACTCGATAAGTCGAAATTTCTATAACTCGAAGATTTTATCACTTCCCTTGAGGTTCGAGTTATGGAGGTTCCACTGTATATTTAGTTTATATCTTTTGCGCTCACGTAATATATAAAACATATACTTTTTTTTAAACTTAGTTACTTATTATTGATATCGTCACAGGTAAGCTAGGTCATCTGGTTATCTGAAAAGAGTAAAATATTTGGATTTCTGGGTTTGGAAACTTAAAAGTGTTGCCATTTCATAGAAAACGAAATTTTTTCTTAAATATTAAAGTTGAAAAATTGAATTTTGAGCACGCTGCTTTCCACACACTGTGTATCGTTCGAAATTAGACACAAAATTACACACAAGATGCACAATCTCGAGAAAAGGATGTTGTAGTAGGATATTCGGAATGAAAGGATTTTCTTTGGTATTTGGGAAAAACACACAAAAGTTTATTTATCTTTCGTCGATACATGTTAAATGTTTGGTACAGAATAATTTCGAACAAATCAATGCAGTGTTCGAGCTGCTGCTTTTGCTTTCGGGCGTCCGACTTTAAGCAGCCGTACTCCTCCGTTACAATATTAACGAAACACAGAATAATTTCGAACAAATCAATGCAGTGTTCGAGCTGTTGCTTTTGCTTTCGGGCGTCCGACTTTACGCAGCCGTACTCCTCCGTTACAATATTAACGAAACGAATAAAACGATTTATAACAATTACTGTGGACCACCAGAAGTACTAAGCAATCCTCTCCGAGCTTCCTCAGGCGTCCGGGTAACCTCCCTGTACTCTCCTCTCTCAGAGGCGACCGGCGGATAGTCCAGCCGTTTTCTCCTCCAGAGAGTGACCCAGGTGTCAGTCCCCGTACTCTCCTGTGCTGTAAGGGCGTCCGAAAGCCAGGCTCCGTACTATCCCACTCTGAAGGGCGACCGATGGTAGTACCTCCTTCTCTCCCAGCAGAGTACAGCACGACTGCTTGGCCGTGTCCGCGGCCGTGGTATTTATAGCTGAGCCTTGCTAATGAAGCGCGGCTTATCAACAAGACGCGTCGCTAAGTGTTTTCCCGCGCGAAACCGCGAGTCTCCCGCGTAAAACCGCGAATCTACCGCGGATCGCAAGCTAGTTTTTTCTAGAAGCTTCTATCGTTTCGCAATTATTTGATTGACGACTAGGATAGAGAGTCGTCCCTCTCACTTCCTCTCACGGAATGCAAATTTTTGTCGCCGTCTTCGTTGATGGTTGTTACAACGTTAACTTTAGTGGAAATAAAGAAAACGTATAATGTAATTTATTTCATGCTATTGTAACAAGCAGACGTTGAATAAATTTCTGATTCGTATAAAAAAAATTATTTAACATAATAATTCTGGCTTGACAATGATTATTCTTGATATATAACCACAGATCAGTCTGATTTTGAATCATTATGAACTTCAGATTCAGTGTGAATAGAGAAAATGTATAATATAATTCATTTCACGATATTATAACAAGCAAACGTTGAATACATTTTTGATTCGTGTAAGAAGAATTATTTAACACGATAAATTTAGCTGTACTATGGTTATTCTTAATCTACGACCACAGGTCAACCTGATTTTTAATCCCTACGAAATTAATTTAACCACGAGTAAGTAACGAGAACGCTAAAACCTATGTTTCCATTGAAGAATATTGTAAAAACGTATAAATTGTTATATGCAATGTTATAAAAAATTGTCGGAAGTATAAATTTATAACAAAATTGTGAAAACTGATAAATTATACCGTGTTACGGTAACAGAAATCTCCCGCGAAAATCTCCCGCGAAAATCTCCCGCGAAAATCTCCCGCGAAAATCTCCCGCGAAAATCTCCCGCGAAAATCTCCCGCGAAAATTTCCCGCCTGACATAACCGACGATTTTGCTAATGACTTTGGGGAGAGGGTACCGAAGGTATATTAGGACCCGCCGATGTCCCGCGAACTTATTCACCCTTTATACTGGGCCCTAGACACTTCGCGATAAAGCTGAAATTATTGTGTTAAATAATTTTTTTAATACGAATTAGGAATTTATTCAACGTTTGCTTGTTAGAATAGAACGATAAATTTAGTGTAAATATAGAAAACGTATAATATAATTTATTTCATGGTATTGTAACAAGCAAACGTTGAATAAATTCCTAATTCGTATTAAAAAAATTATTTAACACAATAATTTCAGCTTTATTATGATTATTCTTGATAAATGACCACAGGTCAACTTGATTTTTAATCGTTATAATCTTTAAATTCAGTGTGAATAGAGAAAATGTGTAATATAATTTATTTCATGGTATTGTAACAAGCAAACGTTGAATACATTTTTCATTCGTGTAAGAAGAATTATTTAACACGATAAATTTAGCTGTACTATGGTTATTTTTAATCTACGACCACAGGTCAACCTGATTTTTAATCCCTACGAAATTAATTTAACCACGAGTAAGTAACGAGAACGCTAAAACCTATGTTTCCATTGAAGAATATTGTAAAAACGTATAAATTGTTATATGCAATGTTATAACAAATTGTCGGAAGTATAAATTTTTAATAAAATTGTGAAAATTGATAAATTATACCGTGTTACGATATCGGAAATCTCCCGCGAAAATCTCCCGCGAAAATTTCCCGCCTGACCTAACCGACGATTTTGCTAATGACTTTGGGGAGAGGGTACCGCAGGTATATAAGGACCCGCCGATGTCCCGCGAAATCATTTACCCTTTATACTGGGCCCTAGACACTTCGCGGCGTATTTTGACCTGAAGGTTCTGAGATGTGAATAGAGTGGTCGGGGGCTACTAGCTAGTCTATGTCCACCCTGTACACACTCAGCCTTCTTGTAACACTTGTATACATTAGAATCAATTAGAATTTCTATTACTAATTATTAAACAAATTTTAACAATTACCGGCACTCGCTAGGCACGTAATATCAGACTTTAAATACTCGACTTCGAACTTCGGTTTAGTCATAATTCTATTAATGTTATAATAACGTATAATTTATTAATTTTCACAATTTTATTATTAATTTATACTTCCAAAAATTTGTTAAAACATTACATATTATTATTTATACATTTTTGCAAGTTTCTTTGACAAATAAGTACGTTTCAACGATCTTATTACTTTCTCGTTGTGAAATCAAGTTCGGAGGATTAAAAATCAGGTTGACCCTTGGTCGTAAATTTAAAATAGCCATAGTGAAGGTGAAATTATTATTTTAAATAAATGTTTCTATACGAATTAAGAATCTATTCAACGTTTGTTTGTTGCAATACCGTGAAATAAATTGTATTATATATTTTCTCAGTTTAGACTGAATTTAAAGTTCGTAAGGATTAGATATCAGGTTGACCTGTGGTCGTAGATTAAGAATAGCCATAGTGAAGGTAAAATTATTACGTTAAATAATTGTTTTTATACGAATTAAATATTTATTCAACGTTTATTTGTTGCAATACCGTGAAATAAATTGTATTATATATTTTTTCTGTTTACACTAAATTTAAAGTTTTGTTTACATGTTATAACAATTAGAATGTAGACGTTTTGCCGTTTCACGGTTTTTCCTCTGTTAATTATGTGTTTATAAATCATTTCAAACTAAAGCAGCACCATGCCCACCCTTAATTAAACCGTCTCAGTAGTTTACCGTAATTAATAATCTATTTTCGGAATTTATACGAGAATTTTTGAATTTTAGTAAATACTAGAGTCAGTGCATCGCGTATTGAAATAACAGCTTCATCGCTAGTTCGTTTATTATTGAATATTTTTACGCGTTTAACTTATGCTTCTCCCCAATTCTCGTCGCGTATTTTATTCAAATTTTCTTTTGATTCTTTCAATTTTTCGTTTTTTAGAAGTATAGAAATATTTTTACTAATATACGACTAACTTTGGCAAGGAAATGTACCTAATTCAAAACATGTAATACTTTCTACACGAACTTAACGGGTGTCTTAATACTTATCAACGGCAGTGTAAGTGTTTCTTATCTTGTTTAGTGGCGTTGATAGAATAAAATGATCATAAAATTCCTATAAAAAGAGATGTTTACGAGAAAGTGCAAAGACTTTCAATCTTATTAAAAGTCGTTTTGTTTCACGTATTTCTCATACACTACCGGCCGAAAGTTTGGAACCTCCTGCCAATTTATATTAATATTGAATCTGCTACTAATTCTTTATTGATTTGAAATTGATATTGTGGAGATCAATAGCACTTTACCTCATTTCGATTGATTTGAATGATAAAAAATTCGTTAGAAAATCATTATAAATGCTAACGTTTTTGGGGAATTTTTGTGCAACTTGCAATGCACAGTGATTCCAAACATTTGGCCGGTAGTGTATACATGCACACATACAACACTATACATTGCAAGCAACTTTACGAATTTTTCAT